CTTGTCGCAGTAGCACAAGCCTCGTACTACAAACCCCAGCCATGAACGGTTCTGCCTTGCAAGCCTACCCTCTCTCCAAGATTTCTGCATGCTCACAGACGGACTTCAAAGAATGTGACAGCAAGATTGCTAACCTGGCAGTTGAAGATCAGCACGCGTGGCACCGCCCAAGCAGTGCTCCACCTGGAACAGACAACCAAACATTAAGTAGACAGTCACAAGTCTTCTGAGATGACAATACGGCTACTGATCAAAACCACGTGCCCCGCGTGCACGTTCCTATGCGGTATGATCCGGAGGGTCTGGATCGCACTCTTGATCCGGAAGGTCTAGAATGATGACTGACTCTTGCTGGTTCCCACAAGTGATACGGGGTGAGTATGTGCTAAATACTGTGATTGGTCTGGAACGAGTATGGAGCAGGTATGGAGCGGGCATGGAACGCACACCCATCGCAACGTCAATTTGCAGATATTGCATTCGTTGGTTTAGAATGGAGGGGTCTGGAATCTGGATCGGGATGTGCGTTTACCCTTGTTCCGGACCAATCATATTGAGCGGTAGCCATATGAGTCTTGGTATTCATCTCGATGATAACCCAGCGAACTGTTTACAAGAGTAGACCCTGTCATACAAGAACATATTGACTTTTAGATATTTAAACTTCAGTTTTCCCCGTCTTGAGGGCTGGTCTACCCACTCAATGACTGCTCAGCCACGAAAGCTTGGAAACAGTGGGAGAGACATTGTTTCGTGAACTTACTTATGTTAACAGTTCGGAAAGACCCCTGTGCGCGATCTTGAGTACGCTCCAGTCTTGGCCAACCCTGATGTATTCACATGCCCCTGCTGAAAAACAGTCAGCTAGCGCTCTCTTGAAACTTTTGCTCTGCAACGCTCCCGTATAAATACGAACAGTATGTGCGACAGAAATTATTATCTTGCAAGTGTTCTTTCAGATTTTTGAAGCTGCCTCAGGATCTCAGCAAACAGAAGAGGAGGTATTGAAAGTGGGATCATCATTTGAATCTCGCAAACCTCCCCCGCAAGCAGCACCATGCAGCTTCTGCTTGGGTACCCTCAAAAAACAACTAACCCAAGCG